TCCCTAGGCAACGAAACGTGTGGTGTTTGTATGTGCCAAAATAGGCGGGGAGGACGCCATGCGGCCACACCCCGCGGACTCCTGTGGAACTCGATATGGAGCCACGAAGCGTGTGAGGGGCGCGGGGGGATGCTATGTGGGCACACCCCTTGGGGCCTCCAGTGGAGCTCCCTATGCGGCCACGAAGCGTGTGGGGGATGTGCTGGAATGGGCGAGGACCGCGGCCACACTCCGTGAGGGACTTGACTACCGGAAAGCTTCAATGAGGGTGTTTGTGGGGATACATTAGCCTGGCGAAGTACCCTGCCATATGCAGTTGTGAGTACCGCAGGTGTGGGCACCGCCTTCGGTGGAGCTTCTTATCTGGCCACGAAACGCTGTACTGGGTGTATGGAGACGCATGCGCTTTTTGCCACTGGGGCCTTCGGTGGAGCTCCATATTGGTCACGAAACGTTGTGCTGGGTGGGGGAGAGGCATGCAAACTTTGCCACTGGGGCCTTCGGTGGAGCACCATATAGGGCTACGGAACGCCACACTGGGCGGGGAAGACGCATGCGAGTGCAGCCATTGGGGCCTTCAGTGGAGCTCCCTATGGGGCTACGGAACGCCGCACTGGGCGGGGGAGATGCATGCGAGTGCAGCCATTGAGGCCTTCGGTGGAGCTCCCTATGAGGCCACGGAGCGTTGTCTTGAGTGGCGGAGACGCATGCGAGCTCTGCCATCGGGATCTTCGTTGGAGCTCCATATGGGGCCACGGAACGCTGTACTGGGCGGGGGAGATGCATGCCAGTGCAGCCATTGGGGCCTTCGGTAGAGCTCCTGATGGGGCAACGGAGGTCTGTACTGGGTGGGCGAGATGCTTGGGGCCTTCGTTGGAGATTCTTATGGGGCCTCGAAACGCTATACTGGGCAGGGGAGACGCATCGGGCCACGGAGCGCTCGCCTGGGTGTGGGAAACGCATGCGAGCTCCGCCACCGGGACTTTCGGTGGAGACCCCTATGGGGCCACGGAGCTCTGTATTGAATGTGGGAGGCGCATGCGAGCTCCGCCATTGGGATTTTCGGTGGAGCTCCCTGTGGGGCCACGGAGCGCTGCACTGGGCGGGGGGATGCACGCGAGTGCAGCCATTTGGGCCGTCGGTGGAGCTCCCTATGGGGCCACGGAACGCTGCTCTGGGTGCGGGAGATGCATGCGAGTGCAGCCATTGGGGCCTTCGGTGGAGCTACCTATGAGGCCACGGAGCGTTGTCTTGGGTGTGGGAGACGCATGCGCACTTTGCCACTGGGACCTTCGATGGAGCTCCCTATGGGGCCACGGAACGCTGCAATGGGTGGGGGAGATACATGCGAGTGCAGCCATTGGGGCTTCCAGTGGAGCTCCATATGGGGCCACGGAACGCTGACGCATGCGAGTGCAGCCATTGGGGCTTTCGGTGGCGTTCCTTATGGGACCACAAAACGTTGAACTTGGTGGGGGGGACGCATATTGATGAGGGCAGAGGCAATCAGGGGGGGAGGGAGGAGGTAGGAGGGGGAATATGAGAGGTGGGAGACGCAGGGCGCTGTCTCTTCAAAACGAGGAGCCAACACCACAGGATGGTCGGAAACAAACGTGGGAGGGATATGCCGAAGTGGGCGTGGAGACCCCCTGCGGCCACACCCCCTGGGGGTTTGCGTGGAGCCCCCACGCGGGGCCTCGAAGCGTGCGAGGGGTGTGCCGAGATGGGCATGGCGCAGGGCAGGGGGGAGGGAAGGAGGAGGCAGCGGGATGCGGGGCGCGCGGCGCTGCGGAGTCGGGGCGCGGAGCCATCGCCACGGGGTGGCGGGGACCCGTGCAAGCCGATCGCGGGGCGGCCGAGCACGCAGTCCATCCACAGGGTGGGGATGAGCGACTTTCCAAGACCACACCCTGCATCCTTGCCTTAAGTCGGGCCTGTCCCCCTACAGGGGGATTTCCGACGAAAAATTAAAATACCCCAAACATACCCCAAACAGGCAACACATACTCAAACAATAGTCCCCAGGCTATTTTTGGACTATTGTTAGACTATTCTTGGGGTATTTGCTATTTTTCGTCGAACATCCCCCTGTAGGGGGACACGCCCGACTTAGTCCTTGCCCCTGCGGCCCACCCTGGAGGACCGTCGCCGGCCAGCGTCGTTCGGAAAACGCTCGCGTGGCCCTCCAGGGCCCGCGCATCCGTACCGCGCATCCTTCCTCTACGGGCTAGGTGCGATCCAGATCTTGCTGTAGGCTGTGTATTGCTCTCGACATGGATGGTAGGATGCGGGTCGGTCGAGTGGGGGGGTGGACGGCGTGTATCAATGAAGAGCGGAAGGGACAGGGTTGGAAGAGGAAACGCTCTTGACCACCGCCAAGATGGCTGGCGGGATTTCAAAGCCCGGCGGGACGGCGGTGCGAGGTTCGTCATATGGCCTGTCGGGATAGGAAGGTTTCCGTTGCGTTTGTTATCCGAAGTGGTGTTGTCACATGTCGTAGACGGCGGCGTGTCATTCAGTCGGTTCGGTCTTGTCCGAACGGTTCTGGTTCCTGCGGTCGTATAGCATGCCGTTGTTAAAACACGTGGACGTGACGTTTGCACGTAGTCAGGCGGTAAGCAAGTGTTAGCCCCTACATTGGTTCGGCATCATTTCATTCGAGGTCAGGAGACGATGCTTGTTCCCTTTGATCCCTTCGCCCAAAGAGTCAGTACGTCAGCGGCATGAAGCGAAGAACATCCACCTTTCGGACTGCGAATATACGCGATGCTAACAATCATGCCAGATCGAACACGCCCGAACGATAGGCAGCGCAGCGTGCGCGCACGTATCCAAATACGTGCGCACGGTGGGGAACATGTGTGGGCGTTGTTGCCTCAATGCGACATGTGCAGGCACGAGCCCCCACACGGCGCGTGCAGGCACGCGTGTGCATGTAAGTTGCAAGTGTTGCCCGCAAGGTCTTAAGTAGTTCGCGAGGAGGGCCTATGCTGAAGCGACGCAAGTGCAGCACTTGTGTTGAAAGGAGGAGGAGGAAGAGAAGGGGAGGAAGAGGAGGAGGAGGAGCATGAGGTCGGCGTAGTGCAGGGCCAATGTAGACAATAGAGCGAGGTAGGGGCCATCATGGCGGAGCGAATCCAGACAAGGCAACCATAAAGCGTGTCAGTGAGCAAGTCTATCGCATGTTTCACGGCACAGGCTTTCAGGGCTGCCTCTCGGAGACATGGGCAGGGTTGCCTACTACCCGGCCAGTTCGATTAGGCGCGTTGATGGATGCGCGCAGTATCGATGGGTGCGATTACAGCAGGTTCGTACTATCTCATCTCGTTGTGCAGGCAGCGTGGGCGCGGACAGTCAAGATGAATTACCCCCAGAGATCGCTCGAGACGAGACTGATCAGCTCACGCGTGAACAGGATTTCATAGCGCACGCTTTTCTGACATCCACTCGCGGTGCGCACCACTACAGAAGAGCCCCACATCGAAAGTGCATACGGCGAATCGCCGCCGCCCGTCGCCCTTTAGGAGATGCCTGTGTGACCAAACGTTTAGGCAAAACGGTTGGGCAAAGCTATTGGACCATGCGCTCCCCCAGAAATTGTGGAAGCTTTTCGGGGAACACGTGGGTGAGGGAGATGAGATTGAGGAGGATGAGGACAAACGAGGATGAGGAGAAGGATGAGGAGACCTATGGGGAGCTTCTTGGGTCATTATTGGGGCCTCCTGGAGGCTTCCTGGGGGCCTCTTGAAGGCCTTCTGGGGGCCTTCTTGGTCTTCTTTGGGGGCCTTGGGGGGAATCTTGGGGGCCTCTCTGGGCGTCAGACGGCGTTCCTAGCCCGTCTGACGCCGTCAGATACAGTCTTGGGAGCCCCTCTGTGCCCTCTTGGGGTCCTCTTGTGGCGCCTCAGGGTCATCTTGAGGGTCATCTTGGGCGTCTTGGAGGCCTCTTGGGTTGTCTTGGAGTCCTTTGGGGGGCCGTCTTAGGAGCTTCTTGGGGCGTCCTGAGGCCATCTTGGAGGCCTCTCAGAGCTTGGGGCACTGCTGGCAACCTCTTGGGCCCTTGCGTCGTCGGAATGCTTTTTCGAAGCAGATGCCAGAATCTTGCTTTTTTCCTGCATTCAAGAAACAGCTGCTGTTGGCCTATTCTGGCCTGCTTTCCTGGAGGACCGCTTGGAGGCCCCTTGTGTTGCCTTAGGGTCCTTTTGGGCGCTTCTTGGGCCGTGTCAGGCTGTCTTGGACCAACGTGGCGGTCTTGGAGGCATCTTTAAGGCCATATCGGGGCCTTCTTGGGCTCTCTTGGGGCTTGGCCGTCTTGGAGGCCATCTTGGCCGGGCTGCAGGCCAACGGAGTTGGATGCCTCTGAGTTTGATGCTGCTCTCCAGGTGGCCTGCGCGCTGGGCTGACGCCCTGCGGGGAGCAAGACTTGTTGCTAGATTAGTGTAAGCGTGCCAAGCTTAAAAACCAGCAGGGCGTCAAGACACTGAGCCAGCGACCTTGCGCCCTCACAAAAGTACACGCGCTTCCGCCAAGAAGGTAACGGGAAGAGCGAGGTACGAGTGATGACATTCTGGTGGGGCGGAACCCTCTACGAAGGGAGGGGTCCAGGGGAGGGGGGTAGGCCAGCCTACCGGGATCCAATGGCCAGCCTCCCCCTTCCCCCAGACTGCCCAAGAGGCGCCCAAGACGCCCCAAGAGACGCCCAAGACGGCCCAAGAGGGGCCCAGGAGGGCTCCAAGAGGGCCCAACGCGCCCCAAGAGGGCGCCTAAGAGCGATCCAAGATGGCACCAAGACGGCCCAGGAGGGCCCCAAGAAGGTCCAAGGGGCCCCCAAGAGGACCCCCAAAAGGGCCTGAGGACGTCAAAACATTGATTTTCCATAGGTTTGTCTATGCTTGGTCAAGTCTCGCTTTCTGGCCAAGCACGGCCCAGGACGGCCCAAGAGGCCCCAAGGATCGTCCCAAGACGGCCCCAGGGGGCCCAAGAGGGCCCCAAGACGGTCCACAGGGCCCCAAGACGGGCCAAGAGGACCCCAAAACGGCGGAAGAGGGTTTGTAGCCATGCTGGTTCACGAGCGAAGGTGTGCGACGGGCCCAGAGGCGACCATGGTGCAAAGCGTAGACGCCAGTCTGAAGACTGCGCAGAAACATGCGGCGGCGGGGCGCCGGGCAGAAGCCCGCCGGGCCTACGAGGAAGCGTGGACCGTGGCGGTGGCTTCGCCGAAGGCAGACCCGCTCCTCGGTGCGGTGGCGGTCCTGGGCTACGCTGTCCTGGCGCTGCAGGATCGCGCCTGGCCGGAGCCCGTCCTCGGCCGAGAGCTCGACGAGCTTCTGCTAGCGGCGCTGGAGGCCGCACAGGGGGCCAAGCAGCGCAGTCGTACGCTGGAGGGCCAGCTCGTCTTATTGAGGAGCCAGGCGCTTTTTGCGAAGCCGAAGGAAGACGTCGCTTGCCTCGATCAGGCGATCGAGGCGAGGCACGCATCCCAGGCCTTGTTGCAGGAGGGGGCTGTGGAGGACCTTCCCTGGAAGGCGGCAGATGCCGAAGCCTTGCTCAAAGAGTTGGAAGCGTCGCATGACCGCGGCGGAGCCGAGGCGAAGGCGTTAGGCCGGGGCGAACTCTTGGAGGGCTTGCGCCGTCTCGGCGGCGACGATGTGGCGGACGGCGTGTCTACGCTCTTCGATGCCTGGTCGACTCCTGGCAGTGGCCCCGAGGGTTCCCCTGTCCTGGCCCTGACCGACTTCCTGCAGAGGTTCGTGGAGCTTGCCAGGCGTCTTGACCGGCCGCAGGACGCGCAGCCGTGCAGGGCCCCTTGCGAGGGCGGGCTTCCCGAGACGGCCTCGGAGCTCGAGAGGGAGCTGGTGGCCCTCGTGTCGCGAGAGGGCGCCGGCGGCTGGAGCGCCAAGGCCTCCGAGCTGCAGGCCCGGGGCTTCGCGGCGGCCGGGGCTGGGGCTTTGCAGGAGCTCTGGGTGTCGTTGGCACCGCAGCTGCGAGAGGCCGTGGAGACGGATGCAGCAATGGCCTGCGGCCACAGCTGCAGCACCTGCCCGACTCGGCACGACTGCCAGCTTCACGGAGCGCTGAAGGACATCGAGGACATGTGAGCATGTCGCACGGTTTGGGTGGTCGGCCTGACCGACGAGGACGCATCCCAGCATGCCACCGCAGTGTAGTCGAATCGTTTTTTTGTTGAGATGATGTAGAGGTGTAGTCTGCCAGCGATGTCTGCGCCATTTTGGAAGGTGGACCCTCGATCTGACCACTAGCCTCGGTAACCCTCCAGAACTTGGCAGAGTCGTGTCAATTGTGCATGTGCAGAATTCGGTCTGGCATGGCCAGGTTGGAGGCCGGCCTTGCGACCTTGTTGTTCGACCAATTCATTTACCTTGGTGTCGACATTCCCAAAGGGTTTTAAGCAAATCGGCAGAGTAAGTTGCCGTGGCAAGAGCCCAAGAGCCCAGCGCAAAAAAATATAAAAACGGCAGAAGAGGGCCCCTAGACGGCCTCAAGAGAGCCTCGAGAGGGCCCAAAGAGGCTCCAAGAGGGCCCGAAGACGCATCCAAGAGAGCCCCAAGACGGCCAAAGGCTTCCAAAACGCCCCAAGGTGGCCTCAAAAAAAAGCCCCAGGACGGCCCAAGAGGGCCCCAAGACGGCCCCCCAAAGAGGGCCCCAGGACGGCCTACGAGGGCCCTAAGACGGCCCAGTAGAACCTCAAAACGGCCCAGGAGGGCCCCAAGACGGGACCCCAAGAGACCCCCTAGAGAGCCCCAAGGCGGCCTAGAAGATCCCCAAGATGGGCCAAGAAGAACCCCAAAACGGCCCCAAAGGACTCCCAAAAGAACCCCAAACAGTCCCAAAGACCTCATGTAGCACCCTGGCTTCCAGCAGCGAGCGGTGACGTAACAAGCTCTTTACACCAAGGCTCCCCATGTCGCGGTGACGTGAAAAGCTCTTCGCGGCAACACCAAGGCTCCCAAGAGCGCAGGATGTCATGAGCCATCTTGGGCAAGTTCTTTCACCGCTCTTTCCGTTTCCGTGCCGACCCAAGTGACGGAAAGAGCGAGGTACGAGTGATGTACGTTGATTTGGGGCGAAGTTTTCCAGGGAGGGGTCCAGAGGAGGGGCGAGGCTTGGGAGCATGGATTCTAGTGAAGCGGCTCTTGGGCGCTTTCCGTAGCATGGTTCCTTTCAATGTTCTAGTGCAGCGGCTCAAGGGCCCCACGAAGACCCCAAAACAGCCCAAAGACGGCCCCAAGAGAGCCTCAGATGGCCTCCAGACAGTCCAGAGGGCCTCAGGGGGCCAAAAGCCTTGATGTCCCTATGGTTTTTCAAGGTTTTTCTGATTTTCATGGTTTCTGCCCCAGAAGGGCCCAACACGGCCCGCGAGACCCCAAAGTTCGTGCGGAGACGGCCCCAGAGGCCCCCAAAGGGGCCGAAAACGCTCCAAGGGGGCCCCCAGGCAGCCCAAGAGCATCCCAAAACAGCCCACGAGGGCCCCAAGAGGGTCCCAAGAGGCACCCACCCGAAGAGGCGGTGTGTACACTGGGCTGGTTGGGGGGGGACTGGGCTGGCCCCAAGACGGCCCACGAGGGCCCCAAGAGTGCCCCAAGACGGCCCTAAGAGAGCCCCAAGACGGCCCCAAGAGAGCCCCGAGAGGGCCCCGAGAGACTTCTAAGAGGATCCGAAGAGGCGATGTAGGGACTGGGCTGTTTGGGTGTGGGGACTGGGCTGGCCCCAAGACGGCCCAAGAGGGCCAAACTGGCCCCAAGAGGGTCCCCAAAAGACTCCCAGGAGGCCCCAGAGACGTGACACCATGGCTCCCAACAGCGAGCGGTGACGTAACAAGCTCTCTGAACATCAAGGCTCCCCAGAGCGCGGTGACGTAATAAGCTCTTAACAGCAAGGCACCCAAGAACGAGCGGCAACGTCAAGGTCTGTGAACACCAGGGTTTCCAACAGGGCTCCCAACACAGAGCGGTGACGCAACCAGCTCTTAACGCTAAGGCTCCCAAGAGTGAAGGGTGCCAGGAGCCATCCCAGGCAACTTCCTGCAGCGCTCTTTCCGTTCCCGTGCCGGCCCAGATAACGGAAAGAGCGAGGTACGAGTGAATGACGTTGTAGCGTGGGGCACAGCCCTTAAGCGGGGAGTGCAGAGGGGGGAGAGGTCCAGGGGAACGTGCTCAATCGCCGAATTCGTTTTTTTCCTATGATTTTTGCATGCTTTTCGGGTTCTCCCCGTTTCCGTCCCAGAAGGGCCACAGACGGCCCCAGAGGCCCCAAAGATCGTCACAAGACGGCCCCAAAGGGGCCCCAAACGGTCCAAGAGGGCCCCCATACCGGCCAAAGAGGCCCCCAATATCGTCCCAAGACGGTCCCATAGGCCCCCCAAAGGGGCCGAAAATTGTCCAAGAGGGTCCCCAGACGGCCCCAGAGGGACCCAAGAAGACCCAAAGGGCCCCACGACGGCCTACGAGAGCCCCAAGAGGGCCCCAAGAGGCTCCCAAGCGGGCCCCAGGAGGAGGAGGAGGAGGAAGAGGAGGAGGAGGAGGAGGAGCAGGAGGAGGAGCAGGAGGAGGAGCAGGAGGAGGAGGAGGAGGA